GCTAGAGATTTCTTTCACAAATGGATCCCACCCAAAGTCTTTGGAAAAGAAATAACATTCTGCATCTGCTTTACATTTTGCAAGCAGAGGATATAATGGCCAATCTACACAGGCTGTTAATCATGATGTTCTCACTTGTTCAGCAGTTCCTGCCCAGATGGAACCCCTTTCCATCAGTCTTACCTCTCGTGTTTGGGCACATGGGTGCTCTCATGCACTGGGCTCATTGTTAGCCTGCCCAGCAAATCTGAGCTTTGGGTTGCTTTTGCAGATGGCAAGTGAGAAAACGTGGATCATTGTGATGCCAATAAAATCCCTATCCTTGCTTCTGTGGTTGGGCTTTCAAAGCACTACTGTGCTCTGAATGCTTCTTTATGAGTGGCAGGTTGCCTTTTATCCAGCCCTCCATTTGCATGGCTCCTTGGAAGAAGGGGAGTCAGAGTGGAAGGAAGCTGCTTTGTCTCAGAGAGGTACCTATTTAGTCATCTGTGGTGTCTGGCTCTGATGCAGGCAGGGGCGCTGAATTGCTGCACTCCTAAATCACTGTTCTTAAAAGCTAGTCTTTGAGCAGCACAGACTTTACAGTTAGTTCTCAACTGGGTTGTAGCAAAGTGCATATGTAAACTGCTCCATAAAATGCAGTCGTCTCTCCCAAGCCCCAGATTTCTTCTTCAAGCTAACATCAGCTATGGCTGTTCCAGTAACCGTGTGCAAATTGGGTTTTCCGTGTTTTTCCTAGAAGCCAGGTCCTGGGCATGTCTCTGGTATTTCCTCAGATTCTGTGCTAGTGCCTTGTCTCAGGACTGCTTCCTCTCATCTGTTGCTAATCCCCAGCTCCCTATTAATTGTTAGCATAGTAGGAGAGGTGTATGATGATTCCATTCTTTTTTCTTAAAGTGCTTCTCACTTCCAGAAATATGGCTGGTCCCGTTTTGGCTGTTGGGACCACTATTGTGTGTATATATATTTTTCTCTGGGCAACCACAATGAAAATCTTAAAAACCAAATCAATCTTTCAACAACCTCTTTATTATTAACAGCTTGGTGCCCTTGTCAGGTGCTGGTGACCCAAGAGTCACAGAAAGAACAATGGCATTCATCATCTCTTCCCATAGCATAGCAGGAAGAGCACTCACGTAGTTTGAGGGGGCTGTGCGTTCAGTCTCTGTGTGGGGGAGGATTTCAGCCCACATTGCAGGAGGGCGCCTCAGTCCCTGCGGGGATGGGGTAGCATCGCGGGCTCCTACTTGACAGTCTTCTGTTCAGTGTAAAGAACAGGGCATTCGATGCAGCTGGAAGTGCAAGCTACGCTTACAGTGCTTCAGGGAAGGGTGTTAGTGACTACCATGGAGGGGAATTCTTCTCATCTCAAGATGAGACTGTTGCAGCAAGGAGGATTTGGGGTAGGATTTGAAGTTGGACCTCTGGTGTCTTGGGGTGGCATTAGTGCTGAGCCTATAAAGCAATCACAAATGGATCTTTGCCAAACTGTTTTACCTAATCAAAGTAGAAGGCAGCTGGCAGGCCACTTGTCTAGAGATACCTGGGTCCTCCAGTGTCTGCTTACTTCTGATTAAAAAAAAAAACAACCAACCAACCAAAAGCCAAAACAAAACAAAAAAACCTCAAAGCCTGAACCCACATAAAAACGACAAAGCAAAAAAAAAACCCACAAACAAACAAACAAAAACTAAACACCCCCTCCACACACCCACACCACACCACACGCCCCCCAAATAACCAACAAAAAAGGTGTATTACATCAACAGGAGATTTCAAGAGCTTCTGTTGCTTGGCCCAGCCTTGCAGCATGATGGCAAGACAACATCTGCAATTTTGGCCAAGTACAATCAGACAGAGGAATGTGTTGGATGTGACTCTTCTGTACCCTTGGTGAGCTCTCAATCCAGTGAGCTAAAAAAACCTACTCCTAGCAGCATTTTGGGAATTTAGACACAATTCTCTTCTAAACTTCACTGGATTTGAACTGACCCTATGGTTGGTTTTACTCATTACAGAAGCAGATTTGCCACATGCTAATTGATTTCCTCAGCTCCAAAAGCAATGCAGCTTTCAGCAGATATATTCCCTCGATGCTATTGTTCTTCTTATCTCTATTGCTGTTGTGACCTTGAAGTTCCAGGAAGGCACTGGTTCGTGGTGATGATAGACCTTGCTGCCTGCTAGAGACTCCAGTGAGGGAGAGGACATGAGGGAGAAGGGATTTGGTTTGGGCTTGTATCCAATTGTTACAATACTTTTTTAGACTGTTTTGTACTGAGGAAGTAAACACTTAATGCTGTGTAAAGGTTAGAGATAGACCCACCCATTCTTGGAAGTATGTACAGCTTGTCCTGAGTGACATCAGAGAGGGATCTGTCTTGCGTGTGTATACAAATCAGTGATTTATTACAGTATAATTTTGTGCCAAAGCTTATTCAAAAATGTCTTAGGTTGTTTCAGGAAACTGTTGTTTTACATTGGGCTTTTTCTTTTTACTGAATTTATCCAGACTCAGTAAATGCATTTAAAGAAATATTTGCAATATGGGATGCAGATCTACTATCTAAGCTTTTCAGCTCTTTGCCTTGATTGCTTTTCTTTGCCGAGTGAGCCTTTGAAAAGATACAAGTATCTGATTTCGAACTATTTTTGCTGATATTAAATGCATACTTTAGCTACCACAACAGTATTACGAGTGTTATCACTTTAAAAAGTGATCTGTAAAAGCTTTTTTTTTTTCCTGTTAGTTAACTATTTCTAAGACTTGTTCAATTAAAACCAAAAATCAATAAAAATGGAAGTTAGTTTTGACACTTGTGATTTTTGTCACTCTTTAAATTTGGTATCACCCTGAATATAGAATGCCATCCGTGTGCATCATATCTGTGCAAATGTGCAAATACTAAAATGAGATCTCATCAACAAAGTAGTTTTGTGGAGCACGTATGACTGATATTAAATCATATACAATTTTTATATATTTATAAAAAGTACTTGCACTTTTTTTAATAATTAAGGATATGATTAAATTTCAATTATTTTTAACAAACTGGTAAAGCACAGAGTTATTAGGCCAGAGCACTGGTTTAATCCTTGGAACAGAGTCCAAGTCTTAAAGGTCACCATTAACCAATACTCTCCAGAAGAAATTGTCAACTCAACTCCAGAACTCTTCAGTTTGCGTTTTTCAAGTGTCCATTTTTGTTAGAGGTTGTTGAATGTGAACTTTTACATTACCTGGTTTGCACCGTGAGCAGTGCAGCAGCAAAATAAAAAGAAGAAAGAAGAAAAAAAAAAATAGTACTGTAATCCTCAGTAATCTGCTTATAAGGATAAGAATATAAAGTAGGAGTAGAGATGATCTTGTTTCTGAAATGGTCAGGTGCAGATCCAATTTTATGGCTGTATTACCCCCTCTATGTTTGTAACCCATCATGATAGACACAGGGTGAGAAAAGCTGTGATCAATCTGTGCACAACGCATGTCATTAACAGTAGGACACCATGTCTGGTTCCCAAGCCTGCATTTTAAGGGCAATACAGGAATGCTGGGGAGAATTTCCAAGAGGGCCACCAAAACTGCACAAGGGTGGGAAAACAAACCTTACAGCAATGCTTAATAATATTTATGGGTTTTTAAGAAAAAGATTGAATGGTCGTCACTGGACACGTACATGTGCATAGGTTTTGTTGCAAGATCTTCAGTATTATAGACAATAATAAATACTGTAGTTGGAAATCAAACTTTTAACGTAGTATTTCAGGCACTTTGAAGCATAGAATAGTAGTTACAGCATTTCACATATGCATCTTTAAAAGTTACTTTGATACAGCTTCTGTCTTGTCTCTGCAGTGGTCTTGCCTGAGTGATTGTATTGGTTCCCTCTAGGGTAAAGCTCTGAAAACCCGTTATGGCTGGAGCATTTGTTAAGCAGTCTCTGTAGATACAATGTTGTAGCAGCTTTAATGAAATGTACCTTCTTTGTCGCAGAGGCTAGCACAAGGTGATAGTAGGGATGAAGCTGTTTTGGTTAGATCATTCTTGTCTCATGCCTGCCCCATGCCTTCGACTTCTTATGAGGAAACACTTTTCATGTTTTGTATCAGACTAACTTGCCTTTCTGTTGAGAAAGACAAATACCCTGTTGTGTTCATGTTGACCACGTTGCCTGATTGTTCTTGTTATACTTCCTGAGAGCATGGTTCAGGTGTACAGATCCCCTGTTTGAGTGAAGGCAGTTTTCTTTCCTTTTTCTGTAAATCTCACTCAGTGAATTTGCTGTTAAAACAGACTTAGCCACAGCAGATTGAGTTGTTCAGCATCTCGATCAAGCATGAAAAGTCAAATGCAGGCCGATTCTTTCTTTATGCTCTCTGCACGGAAAACTAGCAGCTGCTTCCTGTTGAAGCATGCAGTAAATTTCCAAGAACTCTCAGCTAGTTGTGCAAAAACTTTGAATTGTGCGATGAATTAGAATGGGAGGAGCATGTGTCAAAAAAGGACTTTAACCTGGTAAAATATACTGAACAGCATAACACTACTGTAGGAGGAAAAATCCGTTTACATCTCTAATGGTGTTTGACCATTTCGAAGAGGAAGATGGAGTGATTATCAGTCATGATCTGTTTGAAACTCTTAATAATAAACGATATATTTAGGAACCTTTTCTAACAACTAGTCGGTCTGATTTTGTGAATAACTGTAAATGATTCTGAAAAACTATATACTTGAATAATTTTCACTCTAATTCATCTTGCTGCTTTTTTAATAGAGATGGGCAGTTCCTTGGGCTGTTTATCAACCTAGGGAAGTCAAGAAAAATGCTTCTTAATTTCAAAGAAAAGTTAATTCTGTTTTGCCACTCTAAGCTACTTTATATTGTGTACTTGTTGTAGTTACATGCAGAAAAGGAAACTGAAAGTTGGATTTAAAAAAGTAGAATTCACATTGCATTTATCTTTTTTTTTTTTTTTTCCTTCCCCTCTCTCAGGTGGAAAGACATGACATGAATACCCTGAGTTTACCGCTTAACATTCGCCGTGGAGGCTCTGACACCAACCTGAACTTTGATGTACCAGATGGGGTCCTAGAGTTTCACAAAGTCAAACTCAGTGCAGATAGCTTGAAGCAGAAGATCCTCAAGGTTACAGAACAAATCAAAGTTGAACAAACAGCTAGAGATGGAAATGTGGCTGAGTATTTGAAACTGGTAAACAGTGCAGACAAGCAACAGGCTGGGCGCATTAAACAAGTCTTTGAAAAGAAGAACCAGAAATCTGCCCACTCCATTGCCCAGCTGCAGAAGAAATTGGAACAGTATCACAGAAAGCTCAAGGATATTGAACAAAATGGATCTTCCAAAGCTACAAAGGATGCTTCTAAAGATAATTTGAAAGATATGCAGCATGGAAAGCCTCGTACCTCTGGGCATGGAACAGAGAGCAGCAAGTCGGGTGTGCCAGGTGTATCTTTGACACCACCTGTCTTTGTTTTCAGCAAGTCTAGAGAGTTTGCAAACCTAATCCGAAACAAATTTGGTAGTGCAGACAACATTGCTCATCTTAAAAATACCTTGGATGAATTTCGTCCAGAGACAAGCTCTAGAACGTATGGGGGCAGTGCCACTATTGTCGCAAAACCGAAATACGTTAGTGATGATGAATGCTCAAGTGGGACCTCTGGCTCAGCAGATAGTAATGGGAATAATTCCTTTGGTCCTGCTGTGGCAAGTACCCTGGACAGCCAAGGAAAGCTTTCCATGATTTTGGAGGAACTAAGGGAGATCAAGGAGACACAGTCGCAATTAGCTGATGATATTGAGAATTTAAAAACACAATTTAAAAGAGACTATGGCTTTATTTCTCAGATGTTGCAAGAGGAAAGATATAGGTATTTTTTTAACTGTTCTCTTGAAATGACTGTTGGATGGGTATAGAAGCTATTTGGAAAGTGTAAATGTGGGTGTGTGTTTGTGTGTGTGAGATTTCAGTAGCAAGAGGAAAAAATAATTCCAATCAATATCTGATATCAAAATGCTCCACTCCTTCCAATAACTGAAAATACATGTAGAACATCAGTATTTCCTATCGAATGATGTAGTAGTTCTTCACCTTTTGTCGAAGGCTTGTCAGAAAATTCTCTCATCTGGCATTGTATTATGTGAATACTGCGTCCAGGAGATGCCAATTGTTTCATAACTGGTGGAAGGAGTCTGATCTATTGTGACTTGAAGACACTAACCAGTCTACAGTGTAGCAGAGCTGACTTCCAGCTAAGTGTACCCTTGGCTCCCCAGTACCTTGTCCAAATACTTCTCAGACACATTGCTATCTTGTGTATGCAGTGTTACTTTGTACCCTGCTGTTAGACAGAGCTGTGAAATGTAATTTTAAGTGCTGAAGCACAACTTCCGGTGGCATTTGTTACTTGGCAATTAATTCCTTTATCATCCACTGTGGGAAGTGAGATATGTTCTACAGAGGCCTTGCACCTGCTCTACCTATATCCCATTTGTCCTATCACTTGTTAAAGTAAGTGTTGATTCTTGAAGTCTTTACTGTGCTAACGGGCAAAGACTCAGAATGAAAAGCAATATTTAATGTTTCCCTTGTTTACAGTTCTTGAAATACAAGGGAAGGCTGCATATCAGGTGGTAACATGGGGGAGAAAAGAACAGAACAAATGGCCTACTGAACTCAGGACTTGGTTTCAGGAGAAGGCAGAGCGGTCTTTTCTGGCAGCTCACTAACATTAAGATCTCAAGTGTACTGCCACCTTTTCCACAGCTAAACAATTTTGCCTCCATCATCTTTGTGCTGACTGTGGCGTTTGCCTGTTTGTGTGTTAAATCATGTTACAAACTCACAAAAAAAATTTTCTAGTTTCCTGATGGTTTAGTTGAACTGGTTTACTGTGCAGGGACACGCCAGAACAGGCTGTATATGAACGACAGTACCTTGCAGTCGTGTTTGAGAGGGGATCCAGGCAATATATTTTTCCTTTCATTACTGGTGAGCTGTTAACTGGCTCAAGCTTACTTATGAAACTGTATCTTCTTGTCTAAATGAAGAGTGAGAAATGGAAAAATGTGAGTTGGATACCCTTAGGCGCTGTTTATAGTTCACATAATTTGCCAATGATGTACAAATATTTGCCTTTTAACACCCTCTGCCAGCAAGAAACACTCAGAAAAGACTTTCAGTTTGCTGAATAAATGCTTACGGAGAGTTTCCAAAGTTTTTACTGATTTCTCTGCATTCTGTAATTCCAGTCACATGAATCCATAGTACACTGAGAAATTACCTTTTAAAATCTGTAATTGTTTTCATGATTTAGCATTACTTGAATAGAAGGCACTAAATTTAGACCTTTTTTTTTAATAAGATACGAAAGATTGGAAGACCAGTTAAACGACCTCACTGATCTTCATCAACATGAGACAGCAAACTTGAAACAGGAGCTAGCCAGCATAGAGGAGAAAGTGGCGTATCAGGCATACGAGCGATCACGAGATGTTCAGGTACTTTTTTGTTTTCCTTATCATAAACTTCTAACATTTTGTAGAAATCTTGTACTGTAAAACACTTGCATCTTCCTACAACTTTGTATATAAGGAATTTGGGGAAAGATGTAAGGCCACATGTTGTCTGTTTTAAGGTGAATGCCCAGCACGTTTAATTTGGTGACAGTCTCCGTTTGTTTCAGTGGATTCAGATTTTTATCTGCTGGAATTGCCTAGGCAGACTTGTAGACGAAGAATGGAATGTTTTAATTTCTTGCACCAGAGGAGGAAGGAATTGAGTCTCCTTCTGCGTTCACCTCTGTGATCAGTTGTAGGTCATGTCTGGCTTCAAACAAAAGCCAGTAATAATGCCTACAAGTTTGTCCTGACAGCAGGTACTTCCATACTTGAGTATTTATTTACAATATAAGTATTTATATTATGCATAATATTTCTACCCAAAATCTGAGCAAGTGGTGAAAAAAGGTGAAAACATTGTTGCCTTACCTTGGGTTTAAATTCCCTAACAACTGAGGAACACTCAAAGGCTGTCTTCATATTGGCTCAGATGGTAACAAAACCAAACCAAACCAAACCAAAAACTGCACAAACCCTGTCCTGTACACCCCTGTGCTCACATTTCTCAGTGTAGAGAGTGCAGGCAGCAGGATGATCACACCGTTTCCTGATCGGTGTGAGAGTCAGGAACCCCCTGGGAACAGAGTGGGAAAGGGATGGTACTGAATCTAAGCATATCATAGGTTCCTTTGTAGGTGTAAGAAGAGAGGTCTCTTGTACAGGACTCCTTTCTGTGAAGGCGTCTTGAGGATGTAAAAACTGAGTGAGACCCGAGTTCTCTAGCAGAAGGGCTGTGAAATCTTTGCTAACTCATTAGCAGAACCCTGGAGGGATGTCAAGAGACTTTTAAAACTAATTGAAGCGCTACGTTGACACAGCCTTGTTTCTTTTATCTCTATACAGTTGGGCTTGTTTAAACGTGTCTCTTTGGGGGTTTGGCAAATAAGCTAAAATAGACTAAAAGCGTTTAAGTTGTGGATATTTTAAGTAATAACCTAACTTTGGAGCACTCTGTCCCTAAGGGATGGGCAGATCCTTTTTAAAACACTTGCTCAGCCTCTCAATGCAGAACTGCAGGTATCAGACCTTTGCAACTGGACTTTCTTTAAAGCAGCAGGAGATGATTTTGTGGTCAGAGTGGAAGAAGGACAAGGACAGTTCTTTAGTGTGCAGTGGAGAGCATGCGTGAACCCTAAGGGACTTTGTGCTACCCATTAAGAACTGTCTTCTATATTATTACAAATTCCTAGAAGAGTGAAAGGAAGCAGCCTCCTGTAAGGTGCGGTGCCGTGTGCTTTGTGCTGACTTTGATGTCTGACTGGTCACAGTAAGCCAGTCCAACTTGCCGAAACAACGAAGAACTGACCCAGCAAAAGAAAGCGAATAATTATGTGCAGTGGTTTTGTTTGTTTTAGAGAGAGGATTGCATTGAATCAGCTTACTGTGTGATGTGCCATGTGAACACAGGGTGAACACCCCTGCCAGTGCAAGGAAAATGTTTGCGGTTTGAGAGTGGGGAAGGAAGTAGGGGTGCTAGAGCATAATTTTTCCCTTTTACACAGTGGTAAAAGGTTATGTCAAGTTGATCGATCTCATTAAGTTATAGCCTTCCACCATGTTACATAGTGGTGCCCCAGTCCCAGCTCTGGCAAAAAGTGGCGTTTTGGCAAGTAAGCAAAGCAGTCAGAAATTTTTCCATGTTTTGCTTTGAGAGGTCTTGAGTGCAGGGTTAGTGACTTAGGAACCATTTTACTCAAAGACCATTTCTAGTCCACCCTCAAGCAGAAGAGAAAGGTCTGCTTTCTTTTGAGCAAAATGGGAAGCGGAATGTATCGTGTGAGAGAGAGAAGCCCATAAAAGTATCACCACAGATTTCACCACTGTCCCCGCGGCATGCTGCCCACTTAGGGTACAGATTAATGAGCTTTCACACCGACAGTGGGAGAAGGCAATCTCTTACTGAGAACTCAAGCCCAGCACTGTACGGTGGGTGGCTTTGAGAAAAAGTAACGTAGACCAGAGAGGTGGTGTAAACCAAATGCTACGTGTTGCAAAGTAGGTTTAATTAGTATCACAGTAAGTCTGTACTACCATAATGTTTTCTATAGTGTATACAAAGAAACTGACTTTGGTGATGTTTTAATGCACTGAAAGTTGTGATGGTGACAGCTTTCGCAGTACTTACCTCATCAGTATATGCAGGAAATGTTATTGGTCGTGAACATTAGAGTTATGGTACTTCTCAAGCATGAAAAATGTAAAAACTACATTTTGGACAGTGTTGTCAGTTTTGATTATGACTGAGCAGACAGTGACACACACACGCAGATATATATGTGCATTTATTTTTTAAAAAGTTGGTGGTTCCTTCAAATTTTAGGAGACTATAATAAGTTACACTTCTAATCTAGCTGACAGATGGCTCTGCCGCTGAAACGGGAGAAGCGGTGTATGGAAGTACAGCTGCCCTAATTCTTGTTTTCTGTCTCCAGGAAGCCTTGGAATCCTGCCAGACCCGGGTTTCAAAGCTGGAGCTCCATCAGCAAGAACAGCAAGCACAGCAGTCCGAAACAGTTAATGCCAAAGTGCTTCTGGGGAAATGTATAAATGTTATCCTGGCCTTCATGACTGTCATCTTAGTGTGCGTTTCTACTATTGCAAAGTTCATTGCTCCGATGATGAAGAGCCGGTTTCATATCATCTGCACTTTTTTCGCAGTAACACTGCTGGCAATATTTTGTAAAAACTGGGATCATATCATTTGTGCCATAGAAAGAATGATTATACCAAGATGAAGCTGCTGGTCTGGCTGATTTCTTTTTCTTTTCTTTTTTTTTTTTTCTTCTCCTCCTCCCTGTTTTTTAAGTGCTGTGTGCATACAAATTACTTTTTGTTTGTTTAAATGTGCAGACTGGATGGAGGAGGCTACAGAGACTCTTGGACTTTGAAGTGTAAATACATAAACGCATACTTGTTGGCAGTCACTTGCCTGTTCAATCCGATTGCGTCTAGTTGGCTCTGTCTGCAATGAACTGCTCGCTTATGTTAGTCTTCTGCCTTAATCCAACGGGTTTTCCACTTTACACACCCACAAAAGATGGTATGATGCTCTGGGACCGATCCAAGCAACGGCAAGTGTCAGGTGTGCTTTTTACAAGACTGCAGTGCAAAGAGTGTGATCAGGAGGGAGTGCCCATAATGTGTATCAGCCCTGTTAGACTAATAAGTTAATTTTCTCTCTGAATCCAACTAGAAAGCCAAATTATACAGTCATATGTATTGACAGTTTTTGATTCTAAATGAATGGCTGTGTGTATATGGGGTTCTAGTTTTCAGGACCGGGAAAACTTGGTGCTTCTGCTAGTAACCTTTTGCACAGAGAGTTTATTGTTTGTGAATTAGAGCAGCGATGACTGTTGACCACAGTTAGCAGTTGTTCTATCCTGGCACTGTTCCTTATCACATTCGGGAAACACATAGATGTGGCATAAGACTCCCAAAGATGAACTGAATCGAATTACAAGATCTCCAGGCCACTTTGTAGAGTAAAGAAGCAAGTATCTGGTGGGTAAGTTGTCATGCAGACCAAAGCACTGACTTGCTTCAAGCCCTGCAACCTGCAAGGGGAAGGAAGTACACAGAAAAGCCACACTTAGGTTTGCCTTTTTTAGCACTGGAACGTTGGGGTGCTTTAACTGAAGGCAAAGGAGATTGGTGGGGGGACTCTGGGTACAGTGGATTTCTTTCTTGTGTCAGATTAAGGAATGCGGAAGAAGCATGAGGGAACAGCTTCTTAGAGGAGGAGGGAGTTAAACTTCTGTAAATATGCAAACACTGTGCAGACTCTCTTGATAAACATTCCTGAAAATAATGTATTAGCATATAGTACCACTCCTAGGAGACAGGGTTGGTTTTGGGTTTTTTACTGGAATTTATTTTACTTGATTTAAGAACTGCAAAAAAATTTTCCTGAAATCTGCTTGCCTTTCAGCCATGGTGTAAAACAAGAATTTAAAAAAAACCAAAAACCAAAAACCAAAAAAAAAATCCAAACCCAAAACCAACAACAAAACACCACAAACCACCATGCCCAGAATTCTTATCCACTCTCCGTTAAATGGAAAGACTGTGTCTCCAGTTATATGATATTCAGCGTTACTTTGAAAATAATTGTCACGACAGATTTTCTTTTCAGTTGCAGTATTTGTTATGCTGGTTTGGGGGGGTGGGGGGTGGGAGAGGATAACTTGGTGTATTTGGTTTTAATCAAGTGCAATGGTTAGTGTAGAAATTCAGAAGACCTTATTCTGAGGAAAGGGAATGGGGGAGAGAAGGCAGGGGAAGAACTTTGACATTTTACTGCAATTGGATTAACAGTGAATACAGTTACTTTTTGTGGCTTCAGGGACTGAAGGGAAGACAGAATTAACTGCATAAATAATGGTATGACTCAGTATTTAGAAAATTTAGTTAAACACTTTAAAAATCATTGAAGAATTCTTTGTATGTGCTACATCTTTGAACAGAGAAACCAGGAAGGATTGTGCTGGATTACAGGCACCAGAAATGGATCAGATCAGGCACACCCATGCTATTCTAACCCAGACCTGCCTCATCATTGGAGGAAGGTGGAGCAAAAAGCAAAAGTCCTGCTGAGAAGGATATGACTTAATAAAGCCCAAACTTACCAATTGGTTTATCCTTGGCTGTGTCAGGAAGAATTATTATATAGATATATTCTTCTTTTCTTTATATTTTTTTCTCTTTGCCTTTACCCCTGTATTCCTGGTATCTCCTGAAGAAGGAAGGAGGTGTCGTGTTACGTATAAAGCTTTTCTGTCTTAATTGCTGCATGCGGTTCTCCTGCTGTTCAGTTCAGGGAGACCTTTCTTCTCATGTCTCTTAACCCATTTTGGCACTGTATGCTTGCATTGCAACAGGCCTTCACCCCCACCTTCCAAGCACCTGCGCTTAGGCTGCTTTTACGGCCAGCTCATAGACTGAGGGGATTGCTACCACCAATGCACCTCATAAACTTATCTTTGCAGGAAAGTCCCTTCCACAGTGTTAAAAAGATTAAAAGGAAAAAAGAAGTAGCACTTCCCTGGCCTTTGCATCACAAGAAGGGGTTTCCCTTGGTTTGTTTTTATGCCCTTTTAATGTTTCCTGAGATCCTCTTGGTCTTTTCCACTGTTTTCATATGATTTGTTCATTTTTGAAAAGGCTTATAATGCCTTTTTGTAGTGTGTACTTTCCATTTCTTTAGCCAAAGAGTCCTTTCCTTTCTGAAGTCTTTTCCTAAATTGCACCACCCATTTTGCTAATCAGCCCTATGACTTTGGTTTTGTCACCTCATTTCCATAGGCCACGAGATTATACATCCATTACAGAAAAACCCAAGAGTCCTGGTACTGATCCTCAGAAAGCTGTGACTCTTCATAGCGTTTTCTTGCCATCTTCATTATAATCTCCATTCTTCTATTCCATTTGCACAGCCACCTTGTGGTTTGGCCACTTGAGAAGACACTGTTTGTCTAGCATTTTGTTAAATGGGTTCAGAAGGGCACCTGTGCAAGGAAAGAATACCGCGTGTTAATAATTTTTACATAAGGAAGACTTCTTTGCCTGTTACATGGTTATATGTTGAAAGAGATAGTCTTCCTAGTGCTAGTGTATGTAGTTAAAAATGTAATGGTCAGGTAGTCTCAGGGTCAGGCAGGAAAAAGGTTCGTCATTTTTTTTATAACAACCTGGAGATGTGGAGGCTTCTGCTCCAAGGGCATCCTGTGACAAGCCTGGAAGATGACCTCAGTGCGCAATGAGGGTAGAGCATAAAATCAATGGGCCTGTGAAAGTTTGCTCAATGTCTTGATAAAATCTGACTGGGTCCAAATTGGAAACAGAAGGTTTTTACGTTTCCATATTGGCATTGTATCTGGCAGGGGACACAGAAAAAGCTGTAAAGGCTGCATAGTGTTACTCATGCAAATTAAAACAACCTGAACTGGTAAATGGGCACAGCACCTCTCTATGTTATTTTCTGTGTTGGATTTAAATCACTGGAGGATGTGACATGCATCAAGAAATTAAAAAGAGATTTGAAGGGCAAAAGCCTGCTTTTGGGTGAAACTGCTATAGTTTTGCACAGAGTAAGGCTGCAGTGCTAGGAGCTCTGCCAAGTGGAAGGCCACCCAAAGGAGAGGGAGGTCTCCCCTCCTGCCTTCACCCTTCCATTTCTTACCTTGTGCTGACACGGGTATGTGTTGCCGTCTTCCATCTGCCACGCTAGGCTGGAAGAAAAACCGAGCAAAAGATAGTTCTCCGCAGCTACAGACTTAAAGGGCTGGTGGAAGGGTCTGGCAAGTGCGAAGCGGGGGCAAAAAGGGAGACGAGCGTTTTTCTTTCTTGCTGCAGTGAATCGTTAGCTGCCCCTAAAACTGCAGAATGATGGCAGAGCTTCAGAGTAGAAAGGTTCTTCCTAACTTGTCCTACAGGGAACAGATACAAAGAGCACCGGGATGTGGTAGCACAGCCAAGGCAGCTGTGTCTGTACCCAGGCCCAAGAGCAGGCTGGTGGCTGGGCGAGCCGGCGCTGGTGCCTGCTCAGGATCAGCATCGCTTCTCCCCCTTAGGCTGGGATTATATGAGTGATGTACCTGGTCTGCAGTCAGAGCTCTGCTTGCTGCGAATGTGTGCCTAGGCCATCCCAGTCATGAGACCTCTCTTAACGAGAATTTTGTTCAGCTTCTCAATGAACTAACCATGTTCTGGCAGGATACCATTTGCTTTTATGTTCTCGTACGACACATTAGGCATTCTTAGCGTACTCCTTACACTTACTCATCGTGAGCCTCTCAAACACTCCCACTCAACAAGAAGTTGCCAGACAGTGTCTTCTGCTTGGTGCTGCCTGGTAGTCAATTATTTCACTTCACTGTGACAGTAGTTCTCCAACTGAAAAGTCCTTCAGTTAGTTGCTAGTACCTGTTCTGTAGGCTTTTGGCAGCTTTTTTGCTCAGAGGTTTCTGGAGATTTAGTTAGCACAAATTTCCTGATCTCTCCCATTTCAGCATTTGGGTCTAAATTAGGTTTCCTCTAGAACTTATATAATGGATCCCGCCACTACCTTCAACTCTAACTCCATTATTGTTGAACATCCAATTAGTGACTGGCAGCAGTGACTGAAACCCAGTTTAAATTCCTTCTCCTTTCTGCTTTACGTTATATGCGTTTGTGCAACTTCTCATTTTGCTGTGCTCCTGTGATGTCTGCTTGTGCTGAATTCTTAGAGGGGCACTACAAAATCTGACTGCTTTTTAAGTTTAATATCAAAATGCTTGTGTTATGCAGTGGCTCTGCTGCAGGACCGTCACCTAGAGATCTGATATCTGCACTACACGAAGGGTATTTAAAAGACAGTGGTTTCTTTGAACAAATTGTGACTGCTTATCTGGGGAACAGAAATTCAGTAGGTGAAAGCAGTATGCTGTAGGAAAGATACATGATCCACTGACTAAAGCTGAAGCTACACAAATCCAGTGTAAGCATAAGCTTCAGTTTTGTAATCCTAAGGGTTACAAGCTAATTATTTGCTACTGAATAACATAAACAAGGACTCCAACATTTGAAGTTAAGTTGAATGCTGCTGTTCAAAGAGGGATCAGTTCAGGCCCATGTGTGATACAAAGTCCACCACATAATCACAGGTAGTGCTTTCTGGAGTTGAAATCCATGAACAAGAAATTATTTGGAATAAAACCCAACCCACAGAAGCTTGTGGTTCATTTAGGTGGTA